GATAAATCACACAGTGTTTGTTATACAGTAAGTAATTTTTACTGATGACCAAGTTTCGAGCACAAACTATTACCACTCATAATCATATCAAGTCACTCAATCACACAACTTTCTTCCTTCATTTATATACATGAGTGAAATTGATCATTAGACATTTGAATAAAATCAGTAATATAAGATAATGTACATTCAGAAATGATAATATGAGTGTTAGTGATCAATTACAATCAGATGGGAAATAAGACGATCTAAAAGATCGAAAAAGGCCAAAACCAAAATAAAAACAATTGTGAAACTAGTAATGATAACATAAATAAGAGAGAATATATGTCATCTTTTGTTATACCATATATGGAGAGGACATCTGAAACATTGCCTATGTAGGATTTTTAATAAAGCAGGAATTAGAATGGGATTCAAACGTACAAACTCACTCAGGTAGGAGAAGCTCTGTAGACTACAAGACCCGGTGGACCCAATTAGACAAAATAATATAATTTACAAAGTACCCTGCAATGACTGTGGGTAAGGTCAACTACATAGGTCAAACTAGTAGATCAGGAGTAGTGAGATTATCAGAACATAAGAATTTAGCTAAGGTTAGAATGGTTGACCCCACCCGTGAAGATAAGTAATTTAGAAAAAAGCTCAGCAATTGCACTGCATGCATTAACACACAACCACACAATAGCATGGTGGGAGAAGGTTAAAATTCTAAAAAGTAAAATAGGTAGGTGGAGGTAGAGAGAGAGTGATTACTGAATCCTGAGTGGTTCATCGAGTCTACACCGAACACAACACACGCAACAGAAATGACTCAATGCAAATACCAGAAATATGGAAGATATTATTAGCGCCGGTCAAATCAGAAGGGAATAATTAATAATCTCAAAATTCTATTTCAATTCAAGCACATCACAACATTCTAACAAGTTACTCATTTATTCTAACTATATATCTTATTTCCCATCTGATTGTAATTGATCACTAACACTCATATTATCATTTCTGAATGTACATTATCTTATATTACTGATTTTATTCAAATGTCTAATGATCAATTTCACTCATGTATATAAATGAAGGAAGAAAGTTGTGTGATTGAGTGACTTGATATGATTATGAGTGGTAATATTTTGTGCTCGAAACTTGGTCATCAGTTAATATTACTTACTGTATAACAAACACTGTGTGACTTACCAAAATAAAAACTTATCCATAATGAAGTTATACTCTACCAGAGTGCCCAAGTTTTATGCTTATATGAAGAAATGACAATTTGAATCACCTCCAGAATGACTACCAACTAGCCAGGTGGTGATCCGCCAGCTGACCTAAGAGACCCAGCACATAGCTGAACATAAGAAGATAGACAGTCACTCATCTTAACCTGGAAATTATGTTAACCGCATCAAATTGATCAAAATATATGAGAATTATTTCAATTACTTAAAGAGTAAAGCTATTTGTCTTCTGGAGGTATATGGAAATCAAATTCACTTTTATAGAAGACGAAGTGAATAATTCTTAAGATAGCCTGAATTTAGAGTGGTAGCGATTTACCTCACCTATGAGAAATCATATATATATATATATATATATATATCATTTAGAGAACGGATGAAGATCAGGGAGTTCTGGACAGTTGTTTCATCCTAGTTTGCGATTCATCTGCAACACGCAACCATCCACTATCGGGGTTCGAACCCAGGACCTTCCGGTTATAAGGCAAGCTCGTATACCATCCAGCCACTGGGACTCGACCCGATTCAATGGCCAACCCATGAATTCTAACTTCTACCAAATTTGTGATTTCAGCACGACCATCAACTATTGTCATCGGCGGGAACTCCATCCTCACTCCCGACTGGATGGACTCCACTAATCACGACTTCTGGCTAGAAATTCAATTCAGGAAACTCTGTCCTGTAGCCAGTCACTAGCAAGCGCATCAGGAAGGTCCACGGGGGTCGAAACCCGGTAAAAAAAAGTGTATTGCTGATGAGTTCTAAACTAGGACGAAACAGCTTTTCAGTAGTCCAGTGCTAGTTTTCAATGGTTCCCTCTCTCTCTCTCTAACTGATATCAATCCATGGGCAAACCTGAAAAACATATAATTAACGAATAGAATTTGTAACCGATAAAGATGTACAGGCAATCATATTCTCTTTTCTTTTTCTTTTGAATGTGTAAAATTTTATGTACACGGCCCATAAATTATCTAGGCATACAATAAAATGTTTTAACACAGTTTATCTCATATCTAATTAGCATAATTCATCATAAAAAGTAAAAGAATACAATCCAATATGTACACACATATACGTCTAATTGACATAGTAATAATTACCAATCAGTCTATGACATAATCTACACAATCAACGACGTTTAGAGATAACAGAAATGAATAAAACACATTAGCATAACAAACGGAAGGTTTATAGAGATGTACATCACACAATAGATATACACACCAGAGACAGTATCATATATACCAATTAGAGAACCGTTGGAAAACCATTAGAGAATAATACTGGATAGCCACCAGCTGTTTCGTCCTAGTTTCGGGCTCTTCATCAGTACGTACCCTCCCTCACCGGGGTTTCAATCCAGGACCGCTGGTTGTCAGGCAAGCTTATAGACCATTCCAGCTACCGGGAACCGACCCAACAGTTCATAAACTCCAACCTCTACCAATTCGTGATATATGCGTGTTTAAAGCAACCGTCAGCCAGTGTCTACGAGCTCGCCTGATAATCAGGAGGTCTTCTAGCTGATGTCAGGTCGTGATCAATCCTGTAAACCAATCAAATCCCTGAAAACCAACACTTGATAATTATCGTATACGTGATAGAATATACACACTATACACCACAATCTAGTCTTTCGGTCAACATGACTAATCTTTATAAGTATAGTAGTAATAAAGTTGTGCATAAAATAGATCTGTGTTGATATTGTGTGATTTGCTGTGCAAGTGTGACACAACACACCTTGCTTGTTTTAGATATTCTTCTTATGAAATATCACAATAGGTAACAGTATCATCCTGTCATAAAACAATCCAGCTTGAGGTTTTTAAATGTTTAAAACAAAAACGCCATGTTATAAGTGTTATATCATAGATGTCTTGGTGACATTTATTACTATTATGTGCAAAACAAACTGTTAGATAACCATTACAACACATAAGGTCTGGAACTGCTAAGCAGTAATCCAAATTTGTGGCAACTTTGTATCCCCACATTCAGTGTAAGGAAAGAAAACTAAATGGCATTGAGACTAAAATATTATACTGTAGGGGATCAAAGAAGTTCACATCAAGTCAACTGAACTCCAGCCGTTTCACTGTCAACGATCAATTTGCTTATCCGTGCAGATTGAAGCATATAGTGGTGGTCAATATACTCTTTTTAAGGGAGAAGAGCTCGGCAGGTTCGTTGTGGTGTGAGTTACTACTTGTGTGGTGAGAGCTGGCTGCTAGCCAAAGTTGGTAGACAGTAATTGACGTCAATGTCCCCAATATTGGTGGTGAGAAAATGATAGAACGAAGGCTTTGTGTAGGCGGGCGGATACAGTTAGCATATAGATGATCAGACACAGCCACAAAGAGATGCAGGGTTAACTTTCTGTGAGAAACAACCAATCAAAAGACTGTATTTTCTACTAACAATAATCTACAATAATGTACATTAAAATCTATAAATATGTGTTGATTTTCCTTAATAAACGATCTGTTGCCTGGCCCTTGTCTTCTGTTGTTACACTTGTACATTCTCTCTCTGTGTGTCTGTTTTCAACATAGAACTTTAGATAATACCATATTAGTCAAACTAAACCCCCTGTGATTATCACAGGGAGACTTGTGTCCCTTCTTGTATATGAGGATAATCAATGACTTAAACCAACTACTCGACGGGAACTCCTCTGATTCCCAGATGCTGCCTTTTACATTCTTTGCAAATCATCGTCAACTAAATACACCTTTCAACAACTGTAAGTGTTGTATTCCCTCCTTCAGCCGGTTGGGGCGGTGTTAACAACAGCCTAGTCACCAGGTTACATGGGCCAGGCTGAAGAGTCAGCAAGCAGTGTGCTTAGAACTTATAATAAGATCTGTGCAAATAGTGATTTCGTTATACAGTGATACCAAATTCCAAATATAAACATTGACCTTACCAAGTCTGTCAACAACAACACCAGCAACATCCAGCGCCAATCACCATCAACGGGAGGGATTTGAAAGAGGTTACTTCATTCACTTATCTAGGGAGCATTGTCTCAACTACAGGAGGAACCGACGAGGATGTCAAATCGAGAATCGGGAAGGCGAGAAACACATTCATCAACCTCAAACCAATCTGGAAATCTTCCGCTGTCACTCAGCCTGCATCAACAACAAAATTCGGATTTTCAATAAAAACGTCAAGTCAGTCAGTTCTTCTATACGGATCAGAAACTTGGCCAGTGTGTCACAAAGAATATTTCCAACAGCCTGTTGCAGACCTTTATCAACAACAACTGCCTTCGCTCTATACTGAAGATCAGATGGCCGGAAAGAATCACCAACAAGAAACTATGGAAACAAACAAAACAAGAACCAATCGCCCAACAAATATGCAGGAGAAAGTGAAGATGGATTGGACACTCGCTGAGGAGACCGCTGGGTGACATCGCGCGTCAGGCCAGTGCTCGAGTGGAACCCGCCGAAAGGGAAGCGGCGAGTGGGACGTCCAAGGGTGACATGGAGGAGATCGTGTGATGAGGAACTGGAACAGTATGGATTAACATGAATGCAAGTGAAAAGTACAGCAGAAGACAGAAGCAAGTGGAGACGTGCGGTTGAAGCCCTATATTGCACTAGGAACCCAAGGGGACAACAATAATAATAACCAAGTCTGTCGTCTTTTATCGTTACACAATATGAAGAAGAGAACGTTTAAAAACCCACGGGGAAATTATATATATATTCAAATCTTAGAGAGAAAAACAACACTCACCAACAGAAGAGGATGATGAACGTTCCAATCGTTGTAGACTTGAAGATGTCGACCCAGTTGAAGCGACTAAGGCTACTAAAGCAGCCGGTGAAAGACCAGTTTGTTGACCTAATTCTTCAATCAATTTATTTACACTTGATGAAGAGATCGATGCAGATGAAGAATTATTATTATTATTGTTATTATTATTACTATTACTATTACTTAAAGCGTTCAACAATGCTAATGGAGATGTAGTATTACAACCAGCTTCATCACTAGTTGATGTCGTTGTTGAAGATGATACTACATTGGATAATTCTGAAAGAAGTAATGGATCTGTTTCTAAGTTTGTTGTTGTTGTTGTTGTTGTTCCTGATGCTGCTGCTGCTGAAGATAATAATGCGGCGGCGGCGGCAGCAGCAGCAACTGATATAGCACTTGTATCACCATTTGTTGCTTGACATAATAACATCCAACGTTCATTCTCTTCTGGATGAGCATTTTCATAATGTCGTCTTAATGAACGTGAATCACTATAGGATTTATCACAAAAATGACATGCATGCGGTTTACGACTTTCATGAGTATATTTATGACCATTTCTATATATATAAGAGATGAAAAAGTAAAATAAAATAAAATAAAAAATTAGGTAACAGTATTAAAGAAGTTTATTATTATTATTATTACTATAGTTGAACATGTTAGAATCTATCACGACAAAGATTTTTAAAAATGTACTTCTTCTATATTAACACGAAATAACAAATGCTTCTTTGAATGCACTATAATACGCTGGACCATCGATAAAGACTCTAGAAGATTTGGATTTTGCGCATAAACGATTTATATCTAATGTAACACAAATTCGAAGACTTCCAAGCAGGCGAAAACCAACAAACTGGCAGAGGAGACCAGCAGCGAAGACAGGACTCCAAGTGAACATAGTAAAGGCGGAGGTGGTGAAGATAACCAACCAACCAACCAACAACAACAACCAGCACCAATCACCATCAACTGGAGAGATTTGTCAGAGGTTACTTCCCCTTTACTTATCTAGGAAGCATGGTTTCAACCACAGACACACGGCACAGATGAAGATGTGAAAACTGGCCAGAATCGGAAAGGTACGGCAAGATACACCTTCATCAATCTGAAGTCGGTTTGAAAATCTTCTGCACTCCGCCTCAGCATGAAGAACAAGATTCGAATTTTCAGCAACGATGTTAAAAGTCGGTCAGAAACTTGCCCTGAGAATCACGAATACCATTTCCAACAGGCTACGATAGACCTTTATCAACAGTTGCCGCCTTCGCTGGTTCTTCCATATTGAAGATCAAATGGCCAGCCAGAAAGAAATAGCAACAAGAGACTATGGGAGTGGAGATACAGCATGGCTGGCTGGCATGCTGGTCATCTGAGAGAAACACCTTACTGCGTGGCTGTTACATCCTTATTCCCCAGCAGTATGACTTTGCTCACAGACCCCTAGTAGAATGTAAAACAAAAACTTACACTATTCCGGTAACTGCTTTTAGTCGTGGCATAGTAGGGCCTACAGGAACACTAGTTCCAGCCAGTGTAGCTTGTTGGGGTCATTGTGATATGCAAGCCCAACCACTACATCAAGGTAGGAGCTATCGCTTGAGCCACTATGTGTATTTATCAGATCATTTAATCAACATTGAAACTAAGTCCTTTCTAGTTTATCCACTCTAGTTCTTCATCATCGCAATTCATGATCATCATGATCACTATAAACTAAGTAACTACTTCTATTTAAAGTATAAATATCTAAAGACAAAAATTTGTGCATAGAAGTGTATGGTAAGCAGCGTTGAAATATCCCAAGACAGATTTAGCATTAGGGACAAAACACATAACATATGTGTTGCACTCTGATGAACAAATAATGTCTCTATTACGGTCCTGTAATAGATCAATCCTGGACCTGAACAATTCAGAGTTAACATCCTCTGAGTGAAGTATACGGTGATAACGGTTTGGATATGCGACCGAGAGGACATTAGTCCTTTCGAGGTTATATAAGAAGTATGCCTTTCTGACGAGTGCCATTAAGTACGAAACCTATGCTAATAAATTCTTGATGATTACCTGAAACTATCCAGCATTAAGGCACAATCTGTAACTCACAAAGACAAGGAGGTAAGACAAGACAAGCGAAACAGATAAATCATTTGAAGAACAACAACACAAAATCAGTTCATATATACAAATAGACAATAGACAATTCATAAGTTACATTTAATCATCAAAAGAATGAAAACTTTTCAGCTTTATAATCACATTCACCAATTTTTTTTTGTAGCTCTACCGTTGATAAAAAAGAAAAAGAGAATACTAAACTGAAATCGTTTGTTGAATCATGTACTGGCGATTATCACAATTAAACTCATTTCCAGTAAATCCCGATAAGTTTGTCATGAATGAATTTGTACCATATCGGTTGAACATGCAGTACATGAGAAGGAGGCACTGTCACCTACCTGGTTAATAAACTATGTCGGATAAATGAGAAAAAAACAATCAGTCATATACATCTTCCTTGAAGAGTTAGTGTCAACAGTAGACTGCTGGCCAACCATGCACGTGGTCCCGAATTCGACTTCTGACCGGTGAAGACCTTTACCCAACAAAAGGGGAGGGTTAGAAGTGAGGGTAGCAATCCCACCCCGTAGAAAAGCACCACTGTGACAGAAACTTCAAATCTCAAGTTTGAAGCCCTATGTTCCACTACGAACGCAGAGGTTTAAAATATAAATAATAGTAAAATTCGAGGATTTAAATTTAAATGCCAGTGTGGTGAGAGCTGGCTGCGAACAAGCCAAAATTCTAGACAGCAAATTAACGTCAATGTTGCTTCCGGAATCGGAGTCATGAGAAAAACAAGAAGAAAGCTTAACCTTGAGGAACTCACCAACCAATCACAGCAGACTTAACGTGAGCAAATACGATTCGCAGATATATGGCTTAACTTTCTGAGAAACGCTGACAAGCGGTGCAGAATAACCTTCAGCAAGAAAACAAACAATCAGAAGACGTTGCTTCTCTGCTAACAATAACGCTAGTAATAATGTACATAAAAATCTATAAATATCTCTTGATTTTTTAAATAAACGATCTGTTCCCTGACCCTTTTCTTCAGTCGTTATACCAGCTAAACTTTACAGTGTTAGAGTCGTCTAAGTTGTAACATCTTATTACCATCAACGTCAAACAGAGAGAGAGTGAAAGAAGAGAACGAAAAGTGAAGATGGAGGTAAGTTATGCAAATATCTGTAACACTGAGGTCTATTTTTACAAGTGAATTAACAACTATACGGTTGCGGCAACCATATAGACTGCAACTAGGATATATTTACGCTTTGCCTCATGGTTCAGATATTTCGTCATTATCAAAGTAGACATAGTCGAATGAGTAGTAACTTAGTCCAGAACAACACGTGTAAGTCGCTAAAACTTTATGCCACTAGCATCACTACACTTCGATAAAGATATGAACATAAAATATTAGAGGAGTTAAACAATTGTAAAGCCACAAAGTTACAAAATGCAAACTCTTAGTCTTCAATATCTATGCTCATTACAACACTGGACATTCAAATAGAAGGCATTAAGGTAAACACACAAGTATGGTATTGTTTGCCACACCCGATTTATCTAAAGTAAGAAGTGTATCACAAATTGTAAGTAAAATGAAAAGAAAAACAAACACGCATTTCTTAGAGTTTGTTTCTTTACTACTACCTTGCCTAAAACATGTTTAATCATAATGTGTCAAAGTGAGGCTGACCGACTACTACTACTACTACTCCATGTATGGTACAAGATCTGTCAACGGGGAGATTACACGAGGTATGTGCAAAACAAATTCATGTTTGATCATGTTACAGATTTATGGATTTTAGAGAAACTTGTGATAAATTGAAAGGTGAAAAAAACAAAAATACAAAAAACAACAATGACAAAAAGACGAAAGAATTTTCATGTGCAAAGAATGATAAATATTTATTTATTTTAAAACGATCCTACATCAAGTTCTGTTGATCCACCTGAATTCTGTGTTACTTGTTAATACCTCATGCTTTCAATCCTTCAAATAAAAATAATTATATTTGGAATAGAGAAAGAAAAACATATTTGCAGAATAATACGAGGTCATTGTATTCATTATAATAAAAGGTTTTTTGTATTTTCCAATGAATGACTGACGTTTCGCTATTTAATGCTGCTAATAGCTTTATCAAAGTAGTAGCATTAAACCAGAGTTTACAAAATCCACTCAGCATATATATAACAAAGAGTTAAGAGGTGAGAAAATAGACAAGTTAGGTCAAGTTAAAAGGACATATTGAAAGTCAAAATAACAATGAAGATCACTAAACCAAATAACAAAGGTAATAGTACATCTGTCATGGTATCAAAACAAAGTTTACTAACTTGATCATCGTTCGTCAGTCTGGGGTCATTTTTCGTTGTCAAGTTGGCCAATTGGTAAAGATAACAAAACCAAGTGTAGATTGTTGGATTTAATAAGTGTGTAAAATTATAAAACAGCGTGTGTTTATATAATGAGACTGCTTATCACACACGTGTTGATTTTGTCACTTCATGGGGGAGGCGGGTGTTGTAATCAGGTCAAATTCTATTTTAGTCCATCATTCCTATTCAGACAATTTGGATTCCACTTGAACGTGTAGAACAAACGAACGAAGAACCCACTGCCCAGGAGATATGCAGAAGAAAATGGGGATAAATCGGGCACACACACACACACTGAAGAGACTGATGAGTGACATTCAACACTAGGCCATCGCTCGAGTGGAACTCGAATGGGGAAACAACGATTTGGGCTTTAGTCCTAAGGGGATACAGAAGAGATTGTGTGAAGAGGAGAGGATGAGAGGACTTTAAGCACTACTAACTATCAATCAGCAAATGACCTTGAACGCACCAATCACATGAAGGAGGCAATTTTGTGCATACAAAACATATATTTTGGAAAAAAATGTATAAAAACTGTAGAAAAGTGTTACAGAGGATACCTTTCTCTTACATTAGAGAAAAATGGTTCTCAGTTTTAGGTTGGAGTATCAACAGAGCAGAATTCTATTGTGGGTAAAATTTATTTTGATATCGTCACATATTGTAATACAGTAATATTTCCTGAGCAATAGATTGTCCTCCAAACGTAATGAACAAATATTACTGTATAACACTGTGAGACTTTATCGAAACAAATTTTACCCACAATGAAATTATACTGTACCACAGTAGACAAGTTCTATTCTTATTTCGACAGAGTAATTTAACCACATTCTATGCATGTAATTATTTAGGTCTCCTAACCCTAACGTGCAAAATTCTCTAAACTGACTATAATCTAACTCAAACCAACCCTAATGTCTCCTTTATTAGGTTAACCTAACCCTAACTTGTCCTTGGCTTAAAGCGTAACTTAATCTTTCCCAAACCTAAGCTAAACTGCCAGAAATCCCAACTAATAGCAGCATAACACTTAGATGAGCATATTTTATTGATGATGATGACAACATTATCTGCCAGGTTTCACTAACTTGCT